CTAATCTCTGTTGTAGGAAGGACAGCGACTCTTCAGTGAACAGCTCGGTCGACAAAGATGGACCGTCATCTTGTAGAAGCGACAAATCGTCAGTATTATCTGCATGGAGAGACTCTTCGGTAGTCTTCGGCATTTTTCTTCAGGCAAATTTGCTGAGAAATATAAAGGCATAGGAACAAAGTCCCGTTAATAGTCAACTCGTTTACAAAATTGTATCAAGTAAAACAAGCAAGGAACGTGAGCTTACCTTGTGCGCTGGCACAAAGAAAGGAGAGGCCTGGTCTGTCCGGCGTTCACATTATATACCTGTTTGCTATTTGCATAACAATGGTTTTCTTTGGAATGTGGGCTTTGCGCATGCGCAAGAAAGTACGCATAATAAGGGCATAATGTGTAGTATGGCGAAAGAGAATAGATGATAGTGTGATAATAATGATAATGACTGAAAAATTAGTGAACTTATAATCAACTTGATGTAAATAAGAAAAAGATGTGAGAATAGATTCATATGATATATTGAGATTAATCAATTAATTCCAAATTGTACGAGAAGATCGTGCGATTTTTTGTTGATACTTCACTCAACAAAATTTCAGGAAAAAATGAAAGCGACGCCGTTCATCTTTGTCTGTTTGGCGGCCGATTTTCAGTCCATCGCGCAACTGAAATGCATAAAAAAGATTAGTTCTTACGGCTCTAAAACTTTATTTATATGTTTTTTAACCACAAAATGATAGAAAATAATTGTTTTGACATTGTTTTGGCCGTGTTGCCATAGCGACTTAATTTGGTACTCCTACGGAGTACAATTAACGCTATAATTGTACTCCTCTCGACCAATCAGAGTCGAGTAATTTTATTGAGTGTACTATAATACTCAAAAGACGAAAGATAACTACAGATAATCCAATACAATATCAGGTTTAGTGAAATTTACCTTGGATGTCTTTTATTGAAATCGAAATTTTGGAGATTTCCGAACTCAGTTTTTAATGGCCAAATTAACACGGCCACTATAAGACAGACTTGAAAACTGGCTAAAAAAAGGTGAGCAAAATATAAGCTTACYTTTGCTTTTTTCACAYAACGATGCCGGTTTGGTTAAGCATATGAAGAGTTTTATGTTTTCGCAAAAGAAACGTATTTTTACCGCAATGAAATAAAGAAAAGAAAATGCAAAAAAAAAGCTGGAGATCATTAACAAACTAAACTAGTAAAATGAAGCCCCTGAACGTCAAAACCAAACTGGTATCAGTTAAAAAATAATTTTCTTATCCTAATTCTTAATTAAAACATTTTTGTTCCTTACATAAAAGCCTTAACTACTTTTCGAGAAGCTCAAAAACAGCCGAATTGTTAAAGATTTACAAAGCGTTAAATAAGGGACGAATATTTGTTGTAATATGCTCTCCGTGTTATAKTTCTTCCAGCATTGAAATGAATTTAGCTTATCTTTAGAAATATTAAAAGCTTTGAGAGTAAACAAGAGAAAATGAACTAAGAGAAGGAATCCCCGTGCCCCATCATGTGCACACTTTGGGGCTATTTTTAGAATCATTGATGCTATTTTTAACTCGGTACCATGCCCGCGCGATAGTCCCTTTGATGCATCGTTTAAGTACACGAAAAGCGCAATATTTCGCTCCGTCCACGACAAAAACACRGGCTTTGTTTACTACAACACTGGAAGCCGCCTACCCTCAAGAAATCAACCAATCAGGTTCATCGCGCAAAATATCTCCAAGCTAAAAATAGCATCAAACTGTGCACATGATGGTGGGCTATATAGGTAGGATTCCTTCTCTTAGTTCATATTCTCTTGGAGAAAGTCTTTGTCATAAAAAATAATAATATACGATGTTTGCTAAAAAACACACATCTGAATTCTTAAAAAACACTTCTTGTTCCATCTTTGACTACATGGAAGTTTTTTTATTTGTTGTTCAGTTGGTCTATAATTTGTCCTAAAGCGATTTTTTCTGTGCATTTTAGAGCCTCATTTGCGAGTAGTTTTGCTTTGACATCAAGCGGGATTCCTATGTTGTGTACAAGGACGTACGTAGGTATGTATGTATGTACGGACGGACGGAAGTGACGTCAGCCAAGCCATAAAAATCAACTCGATGGTATACTATTTTTTCTTAAATATGGTGCTCCGCTCGCGCGGGAGCTCCGCTATTAAGATATAGTACCAGTCCAAACATAGATCATATATCTCAGTTTCCTGAGAAACTTCCCGTTTCAGCCCCTTCAGTTCTTTCCCTTTCTTTTCTTTTTGAATTTCCCTTGTTTGTCCTTTTCGTATCGCCATTAACTACATAGAAAAGAATCAACTCTTACCTTTGATATATCTATACACTTCTACACGTAGTACTTTGAAATTGTGGTATTTCGTTGGTATGAATCTTATGAGCCTGGCAAGACTTCGAGTATCGTCTAATGTATTCTTGACGATACTTTTTGTGTCTTTGTTACCGGGAAATATCTGCAAAGTCATACAAATAATCTGTCTTTCAAAATGAAAAAAATTCGTTATGCTAAATGTTTCCATGAGGGCTCGGTAGCGCAGTAGTAAGTGCTTCCTGCTTTCACTCCAAAATAAAATAATAATTAAGAAATTAATGGTCAATATAGCGCACGATAGTAGCGTAAGCGTAGCGGAGCCGAGTGCAACTCTAGCTACCATCGTGCTATCCCAACTATCCAAGTGCACCATAAATAGATTTACGCACTGCTAGTGCATTGACCATTGCTCTTATCACATAAAGAACAACTTTACACGATAAAAACTGTTTATTTCGATCTGATCAAAGCACAGATTCTCCTAAGATGCGAGCACGCTACTTTTCGAGCTAAATTTGAAATCAGTCAAGTCTCGTGTTCGGAGGGGGAAAAAACCTCAATTTGTATCGTAAACTTAATTTTCAAAACTCAGTTTTTGCGGAAAAATCATGCAAAGGAAGCAGTTTATAAATGAAGTCTTGTTCGTTTTTATTCACAAGAAAGTTTTTCATTGACCGAGAAGAAGTCAAATTAGTGATATTTGTCGGAGCTTGGCTGCATCACAAATTATCTGAACATTTTAAACCAGTTATTTTTCGAAAACTGAGTAGAAAGAATACATCATTGGCTTTACATGGATTCCAGTAATCATCGTGGTGTTTTGCTGGACTACTGTGGTGACCTGTACGGCGGATTGAGTAATAAAAACTGAACTAATTGACTTCTCAACTGCAAGACTTCTCGATTTCGCTGCAGTGAGCTAGCCGGTGGAAGGGCGAGTTTTTTAGTGAGCCAAACTTGAGCTCAAACAAAACGCTATGAACTTTTTATAGAAAGGAAATCAATGAATATATTTTTCATTAAAAAATACAGAAAGGTAGACCAGTTAGTAGTCCTTTTAGTTTTATTTAATTTGAGTGCTTGCAATCTTCACCAAATTTTCACCAATTTGACGTCACCAGCGTGCTTCATACGAGTTTCATACATTTTCATTTCTTCATAGATGCAGAGACAATCAGAGCGCGCTTTATATCTCAGTTATGTTGTAAATAAATATGTTTTTATTTATATGCGGTTGTCTTCAAAGCTATATAAGCTTTTTAAACTGCGTATTCTCTATACACACTCCTAACTACATTTGAATATTATATACACATGACTCTCAACTCACATGTTGATTTTTACGGAAGGAGGAAACCCAGAGAACCCGGAAAAAATCCCCACGGCAAGGAGGAGAACAACATACACATTCAAACAAACTCGATTCGTATTTGGCGTCCCGCTGGAGTCGAACCAGCGACCGAAGACCCGTTGGACTAATAGCGATTGAAACGACGCATTAGCAGCGTACACCACCCATCACACCACAGCTCTGTGGTTCGTGTCGACCTGGCTGAGGGGTAAAATTTGTAAAGGTAACTTTGGCTTTCTACATTGAGGATTGTTGATCAATGAATCACTGTAGACCCGGCGCAGTCATAGTGTCCCTCGCATCCGTTTTTAGTGTCGGTCGTCACGCAACGCTCCTTCCCCACAAACGGCTGCTTGCATTCGAACTACATTCCTTTCTCATTGTTTGACCAATCACAAGACGGGTTATATTTAGAGAACCGTTCGCGGACTTTTGATCTGACCAATCACCGTGCATCTTTTATCTCGCATTCTCAACTCGTTCAGATGGCATCGATAGAAGAAGTATTTGGCCTCGTTTCTTCAAAGTTCGGTATTCCTGATCTAAATGCGCATCAGAAGTCGGCTATCAAAACTATAGTTGAAGAGAAAGTATTTCTTTTTGTCAATCTTCCAACAGGGTTTGGCAAATCTCTAATTTACTAAGCACTGCCTCTCGTATTTGGCTACAAATATACACAAGAGTCTGGTCACATCGTTGGTTGTTGTGTCTCCTTTAATTGAGACCTCTAGATCTGACGATGAATACGAGAACGAGTCCGAGTACGAGTTTTTAACTTTTAAACATCTCTTTGTAGTCTTGATCGTATACATAGATTGAAACTTTAGATTGTAAAAATTCGAAAATCGAATAAGATTTAGCGTTACTCGTACTCGTCGTCGTATCTAAAGGTCGCTAATAAGTCTAATGGATGACCAACTCTCAAACTGTTACGTAGTTTAAGAGTTAGTGCTGTGAACATAAGCTCACTTGGAAGAACGGTGTGAAGTCAAAAACGGCGAATGTTCCGCACCGATCGCTTTCGAGGATGTTCTTCGGCAGCTCAATTGAAACTCATCATGTTTATACTTTTGGACACTGTGATTGGTTCAATAGGAAACAATACGCTCGACCTCATTGGCACGATCCAAACAATGAGAAAGGAATGTAGTTCGAATGCAAGCAGCCGTTTGTGGAGAGGGAGCGTTGCTTGACGACCCACACTAAAAACGGATGCGAGGGAGACTAGCGCAGTCAACACCCCCAGTGCAAGCAATCAGTTCGGCTTCAGGCATATTTTTCCTAAAGGAAACGTATACATTCGTCTTTGGATTGATATTACAGAGCGATATGATACGGTCATGCTTTATTACCTTCACTTTACCACCACTTTGATAAAGAGTCCAGTTTTTATTGTCAATAGATGTTGCTATCTTGTATTCGGTTGTCCACTCTTCATTTTGGTGTCCGCAACCTTGTGTAGCTACAGCACATATGGTAAACACTGCACCTAAGTCTATCTGTAGATAGTCACTCGAGTTACTAGTAGTCTTTGGTGCCCATCCATATCCACTGTAATCAATTCTCGCATGGTGGGGTTGATATCTGTTATCATGATATGAAGTTGCTGTCAAACTGGTATCTGGTATAATACTGTTGTTTGATACACCAATGGCATTATCTTCACATTCTGTACAAACAAAAAAATTTTTTTATTTTATATATAACTAGAATTCCATACAATAAATCTCTATTATAAAAATCTCTATGCTTTATATTTCACTGGTGAAAAATGCAATGCGACCAATCAGCGTCGCATACAGCTTTTCACAGTGTAAAAAATATAACCAATCAAAACATAAAATTGACCAAACCAACCAATCATAAAACGAGCAATTGTGACATTTGAATGGCTTCCCGCCAAAGCAAATTTGCGTTTTCTGTAGTTTTGTTGATGTGAACAAAATGGCGAGTCGTTTTGTGCCACTACATGTGCCGGTAGATTAGTTTATTCAAAACCAAGAAAACAAAAAGACCTTGCTTTATTGACCTAATATCTCGAGACAAAAAATGTGCAGCAAAACCTGGAAGAAATCCAGCCAAGAGATTTAGACGAGCTGCTTTCTGCTTTTCTCGTTGAAGTAAGGAAGAAAGATGGGGATGAATACGAACCGACGA